TGTACATCACTGAACGTTGCATCGAATCATCACTTCATACCCTGACTTTAGCTCAAACTGTAACTTGCGGACAACGGACTGCGACCAACCAGCCCTGGTCGGTGGTCGCCAGTGGAACTGCATGCATCCTGCCGTGCACCACCAGGCGGTAACTTTTCGCTCACAACATCCGGGGTTAGGTTTCAGAAACCATAGTTCTGTTCCAAAATCTATCGTCCTTCGACTAGCGACTTCCGCAGCTACACTAATTAACGTAATTTTTAGCTCACAGCATCTGGGGTTAGGTTTCAGAAAGCATAGTTCAGTTCGAAAATTTATCGTCGTACGACGCGTGGCCGTTCGACCGTGGGAGCGCAGCCGTGCACCACCAATTTTATGCACCAATAAGCCCTGAATCGAACGCCTTGGATCTCTCCGGACATCCACCAATAAGCCGTGAACCACTCGGCATTGTCTTCCTCCGGCCTCGCATAGAACCTGCCGTGCACCACCAGGCCGCGGATCGAATCTGACTTCCGGGCATCGTTAAATTACGTAATTTTACGTACACCACATCTGAGATTAGGTTCCAGATAGCATAGTTCTGTTCCAAAATTTATCGTCCTTCGACAAGTGGCCGTTCGACCGAGGGCTGGTTCGACCCGCGGCCTAGATACGGACGGCTTGAAGTGTTGAAGGCTACGTTCCGGAAGGCAGGAATCATGATGGTCCATTACATCCAGGGCAGTGGTGGTCTTCGGCAGGCGACCTTTCGCCTGTTATGTTATTGCATTTTATATTGTTTTGTTTTTTTGTCCTAGCATGTTTTTTTAATTTTTTTTCTTATTCAAATTTTATTTTTTCTTTTTATTTATTTTATTATTATTCTTTTTAATTTTTAATTTTTTAGTTATTTTATTTTATCATTATTTTTTATTTACATATTTTTCTTTGTAATTTTCATTGTTTTTGTTATTTACTCTAATATTTATTTCATTTACTGCTTTATCCTTATTATTTGTCTACATTTAATTTTTGTATAATTTCATTTTATTCAGTTATTTATTAATATTATTATTATTATTTTATTATTATTTGTTTTTTCTTTTTTCCGTGTATGTGTTTTCTCTCTGTTTCAGGTTTTTGTTTCCAGAGCTGGTAAAACAGTTAGGTACAAATTAAACCCAGTTAAGGCAAGGGGCTTTATGGACTAGTTTCCAGTGCTCCTATAAGAATAAATAAGAAAGAAAGAAAAGACTTTTCGACCGTAGGCTGATTTCCTTTCGACCTCGGACGTAGGCGACCGTAGGCTCCGTCCGAGTGGTGTAAAATTTTTTCGCGCATTGGCACACGACGCTGAGCCATACGACGTAACGCTATTTTCCTCTGGGCTGATTGATCTAATTAATAATAATAATAGCGGTTTCGGCGTTTATTAGGCCATAGGCCTGTCGCCGATTCTTAACATCGCAGAACATCCACAACTTGGAACGCAGAACATCCACACACTCGAACTCACAACTCACTGATTCAATTCTGCTGTGCTTAACCGCCCGGCCTCCTTGCCGATTCTGACCAGAAACTGGCGCACAGAGCTGGGATCGAACCCGAGCCTCTCTGCGCCAATCTTGGTACTCTGAACTTTAACCACTGGGCCACTCTGCCCAGATGGATTTGATCTGTCTGGTGGCGTGCGGCTGATAATGTTATAGTCAAAAAGTGTTATAGGCTACGTTCTTGAGGGAAGTGTCCAAAGGGATCTTGATAGTCCATTCGATGCACGGCAGTGGTGGTCTCCGACGGACCGCCCATTCTAACTTCTTGCTGCATACGAGGTTAGGTTAGGTCCATTCAGGTTTGTTTCGGGGGGAAAAGGTTGCAGCTCGTATAGGTTAGGCCTGAAGAGGTTTGGCCAGATGAGGTTTGGCCAGATGCAGTATGGCCATGTTTACATTTGGCAAACATATTTTGTGGCTGTGGACATCCGGCGCTATGGCTTTGAGCACTTGATTCATAGGCCTTTATGCTCTCTAGCATTCTTAGCTATGGAAAGGAATATGAACCAAGTGTGAAGTTTGGCAAAGCTGGCCTCCGGCATGTGCCCTGGACAATCTTTGCAGATAAACGGAAAGTTTGGACTTTTTAAATTTTTACTCACTCACTTCAGGAAAAGCAGAAAAAATGTTCCTCTTGATAAAAAAAATTGAGAGTGCCAGTTTAGAATATTTAGCCGGATCAAAAACAGGATTTTATTTCATATAAATTTCATGACATGATTGAGGTATCCGACTCGACCAAAAAAAAAACATAGCACTATTTGAGGAACTGTGATATCATTTTTAAAGTTGTATGCTAATTTTTTTTTATTGAAAATTGAAATGTGTTGCGTAATAGCCGATTGATTTACAATTATTATGCGTCACCCCAGAATGAGAAAAAATACATGACTACCGACAGTCAAAGCTTACAGTGCCTTGATAGTTATTCACCACAGTCGCATATGAATATCGATCTACAGTGACTTTTCCCGCCAAAGTCGAGATGTGTTGTTATTGTGTTCTGTATTGCATCATGGTTGTGAGGGCGGGGATCGTGCCGATGCAGCAGAAGAGGATGTAGCCGTAGCCTAGATGAAGTGATAGCACGAGGCTCCTCGCTCGCCGGCTCGGTAGATGTGAGAACGTGATTTGTGTGTACAACCCTGTTCTAATTGGTGCCTAAACTCCAAATAGGCTAAATCCCCTTATGACTTGCGTCATAAAAACTCCTAAATCATATGCTGTCGTCATTGTCGTGTCATTAATCTCATCTTGTTATGTCATAACTCATAAGACCCCTCTTGTGCTTTTCTAACCTTTATACTTACTTCAGTTTTGTCGCTGCGCAGAGCCGCAGACCAGAGAACCTTATTTATCATTTGTATGCCTGCGACGAAGGTTGGGCCAGCCGGCGCCCGGCGCCGCCACCCACCAGCGGCCGGGCAGGCGGGCAGGGGGCAGCGACCACATTAAAGCCTAGGGTACCAAAGTTCTACCTGTTCAATCAATCTGAAATTTTGCACACTTGCGTAAAGTTGGAGACAATGCTTGAATCAATTGACAGAATGAATAATGTAAATAATTCAAAATTTTTTAATAATAAAAAAGTAAGAAATTAAATATTTTTCAGGGAGCTATTGAAAAATAAAATAAGAAATTTGTTGTACATCTGATCACATCTGATCACTGATCAGTAGGCTACATGTGTAACATCAGAGACATTAGCCTCTTTAGAAGTGTTATCTTTCAAAGTAATTTTTTAATGCATATTTTACAACACTTCTCTTTAACTTCACTTCTTTTTTTCTTTCTTTGTCTGCTACAGTGCTACAAATCTTGTAATTGATATTTAATACACTTTTACCTGTCCAATCGATCTGAAATTTTGCACACTTTTGCAAAGTTGGAGACTATGCTTTAATTGATTGACAGAAAAAATAATTCAACCATTTTTTTGTAAATAAAAAAACAATAAAAATAAAATATTTTTTAATAATAAAATATATTGTATTTCGTTGAATATAATCACGACCAATCATATGGCACGAATCAATCGGTTGTTTCTGTATGATAATGCACTAATTTTACCCATAATTTTTAAAAACTGCTCCTGAAATAAATAATTTTTTTAATATTTAAAAAATAAAATAAAAAATTCTTTATTCATGTGTACCTAACATTGGAGACACTGGCCTTTTTAGAAGTATTGTGACTATTGTCTTTAAAAAGTTATTTTTGAATGCATATTTTACCCATAATTTTTAAAAACTGCTCCTGAAATGATTATTTTTACTGCAATTTCAGGAAACTTCTGAAAATAGGGTTTTCAAAATTGGTTCAAATACAGGGTGAAGTTACTGAGGTAGCTAAACTTTGGTGTGGAATAAATCTATCCTTTGAGTCAAGACTAGACTGTGACTGGCATGAAATATATATATTTTTTGAGCTGCAAATCCAGATCCTTCCATTTTGGGAGCTGTAAGATTTCTGCTAGATGAAAAATTCATTTTGAAAGTTTAACTTTTCTAATCATGGACTCAGGCACTTGTAAACAATTAAACATGAGTCATAGAGGGCCTTTGGAGTGAAGATTTCAGTTAAGAATTTATGCTGCTACCTTGTCTATCATGGGGAATGAATTTACAGCTTTAAGCAATTAATCTGCAGTGGCATGATCATATAGATAAGCATCTTTTACAGCAAATGAATTTACAGCATTAAATTATTTATGATGCTTAAAAGCAAATTTCCTTCACAGAAATCCGTAAGCTTGTTTTCTGAAATTACGTCATGATCTAGAAAGGACATTTCAGGCTTTCAGTTATGAGTTTACCACACTGCAAATGATGTGTTTGATAGAACTTTCTGGCATTGATCAGCCTTTATATTCCATGCCCCATGGCACTTGCTGGTGGCATTTTTCTTTATGTATAATTTTCAAATTCAGTACTTTAATTCAAATTGACAGAGCTTCTCTGAAAGTTGCCCTTTAGATGGTAATACTTTTTGGATGATCCTCGAAGAATTTCGTGCTCAAATATTATCAATACAATCTATAGTGAGGAAGATATGCTGTGTGAGCCAGAATGAATTGTACCATCTTTGTTGATGCCAAAAATAGTTGAACCATAACTTCTCCCAGACATTGTAGATGGTGCATGTTTAACTTAAAATAATATAAACATGTTATCATGTGCTGGTATAAAGAACTATTTCTAACAAATCTGTTGGGATTGTGAAATTTCCTTCTTGATCCCACTGTTGTGATATGAGATATCTAAGCACTAATGTAAAGTTACTTCAACTAGAATCAGCATATTTGTTCAAACTTATATCTGATGTATTACTTGATGGTTTATTTAATTATGTTGCATCTTGTAGAAAAAGCTTCTTCAAGTTCTATGTCTCGAGTTGAAAGTTTGTTGAATGAATTGAAAATTATTGGTCACTCAGCTAATCAGTTTGTATTGTTATGTCATTCCCTTTCTTTCATTTATTTTTATTTTTCAGCATTTTTGTTATTCATGAATGTAGTCTATGAAACATGGCAAGCAGAAGGTCCTCTCGAATTGCTATCCTAAAATCTGCTGAGCTTAAATCAAACAAGACTAGAAGTGCTAGTGATGGATACATTTCTAAGAAAAAGCAGGCTATTAAAAAAATAACTAACAACAAAAAAGTAAAAAAAGAAAACAGCATTGTTCATTCCAATGAGATTGATTCTTCAATAATTAAAGAAGAAGAAACATTTGAATGTAAAGGTTTGGTGCCTGACAAGCTACTTGAATTGCCCAAATCTGCTATTAAAAAAACGTCACATAAAAATGCCAAGAGTGAGATGACTTTTTCAAACCAAGTTTCTCCCACTGGAGCCTCAAGATCAAAGTTCCCTGGCAGGCTAGTGAAGGAAGCTTCTCAAGAAATACTTGCTCAGAAAAAGAGATCTCCTGCAGTCAATGTTGTTGAAGAGATTGAAGTAATTCATTCTGTTACCAAAAAAAGATGCCTTGAAACTCATGACTTGAAACTAGATCAAATGAGAGTGAGAGTGTTGGTAGAAACTCTCCACCCGAAAGCATCTGAAGCTTTAAATAAACTCAATATTGAGAACCTCAGAGTTTCCCATAAAACTTCAGATTGTTTGAAAAGTAATCTGGATGAAAACAGGAAAGAGTTATGTGAGAGTGGAAGTAAAGCAAAAGAAGAAAGAAGTAAAAATAAATGTACAGAACAACCTAAAAAAGGCCGGAAGAAACTGCGGCAAAAAGTATCTAATGAGAGAGATACCAAATGGAAAGCTGCTTCAGATTTGGAACTTAGTGACTGGGAGGATGTTGGTAATCGTGAAGATGCAGAGATTTGGGATGACATCAACTCCCTCATGAAGAAAGATGAAGCGGCAGCTCTCAGCCTACTTGCCAAAAGAGATGCTGAAGATGCCAAGGAAAATAAAGAGGTAGCATTGGAGCCTGCCTCTGTACAAATTGAGCTTGAGGCTCCTACTCTATGGGGCAGCTATCGCAGCAAAAAAATGAAGTCCAAAGATTATGAGGCAAGTTCATTTGGTGTTGGTGTAATTTGTTCTCAGATTTATTAGTAAAATTTATTTATTTAGACAAGTGTAATGGATGGCCAGAGACTGAATTTTATTTATAATCTTCTTGTTGGCTTCCTAAATAACGTTTTGTACATTTTTTTAGTTATTGGTAGGTTGAAAATCAGGTTTCCAATGGACATTTTTACTATTTTGACATTTTGAATGTATCAAAACTCATTTTCAAGTTATGGAAATATGGAATGCATTGAGCAATGAAATTTGCATTGACATAAGTACAAAATCATGTAAATAGGATAATGCTGGAGAATTTTAGCCAAAAATTGTGCAGTTTGCCAAAATCATTAGTACTTTGAATCTTGAATAAAGAGAATTTTTGTGTGAACTTCATATGTTAACATAGATTTATTGGTTAAAAAGGTATTTGATAAGTTTCAGTTCTTCTTCATCTTATATCAAATTCCAATTTATATTATGTACAACATAATGTTAGCCATAATTGAATATGTTTTCATATTATTGCAGATGCTGCAACAGCTCAAGCTTGAGGTGAACCGTAGCATCCGTGAAAATTACTTAAACAGCCACAAGGTGCATCTGTTGCTACTGTTTGGCCATGGACTGCATATAAACAGGCTTCTTAACTCTGAAGAACTCTTGGCATGTGCACTATCTATCATCACCAATGAGGAGGTCTATCCTCCCAAGAGTATCAGTCTTAATTATTTAGAAAACTTAACTTGTTGGTACTGCAAAGAAATAACTCGTGTGGAAAGTCCACTTGAAAAATTCTACTGGATGCAATCCCTGAAATTTTACCTTAGAGAAAGGTTTGAAAAGAGGCAAGCAAAAACAGCTCGGGAATTTGTCTACATGTTTATTTTGGTAGCCAGAGCTTTAGGAATGCCAGTGCGTCTTGTACAGTCAATTAAGCCTATGCATTATAGGCCTAGCCACAAGGACTTGTTCAAGCCAATGAATGAAGATGGATCCAAATTCCTGAAAGACCATGGACCTCCATCATCTAAATCCTCAAATAAATCTCACAATGTGGATGAATCAAAATTAATTGATCCTGAAGCATCAAAATTCAAGAGAGGTCAAGCACAATCGAGTAATTGTGATCATGAATCAAAAAGGTCAAATAAACCAGTCAAGAGGAAAGTTAAAAAAAATACCTACAATGACAAATTTCAAGATGATGATAGTTCTGACAGTGATTTTGAAGGCACAAGTGGCAAGAAAAGGAAATTAAAGAAAAAGGGTGTCACAAGTCCTGGCAGTAACAGCTCCTTCAAAAGCACATCGAGCAGCAGCGGATCTGGTAGCAAGAGGAGATTGTCTCAAGACTCAGGTAACGAGTCCGGTAGAAAGAAAAAGAAACTTGAAGAGCACAACGAATGGGCCGAGATATACGTGGAAGAAGAGGAGCGCTGGGTCTGCATTGACATCATAAGGAACAAAATTGACTGCCATGATGAACTTGCCGTGAGTCAAATAAGCTTTAAATAAAATTCTACTAAACTTTTGGCCACACAACATGAAACTTTTTTCTGGAACTGTGTACACATTTTTACAACTCTTACAAGTTTGAACATTCATTTTCCTTTAAACCTTGCTCTTTATGACATTTTTTATATATGTTCTGATATCTCTTTGGCCAGAAGCTGGCGCTTGCGCCGGTAGCCTACCTGACGGCGTTCAATGCAGACCAGAGTGCCAAAGACGTCACCAAGCGCTACGTCGCCAAGTGGCTTTCATTTGAAAATAAGGTGAAAGGAATGGTCGTTTGCCTGTGTTTCTGTTTCTAAAATGCGCTATGAACTTCTGTGGGTTTTAAATGTATATATAGGTTACTTTTGAGGTGAAAGAAATGGTCGTCTGTCTGTACATCCGTTTCTAAAATGCACTATGATATTCTATGGGTTTTAAAAATGTATATATAGGTTAGGAAGGTTACCAGATAAGAATTTTCTAAGTAAGAGTTGAAATTTATTGGAGATCCTTAATTCTAAGTATACGTTTGTGGAAAAAGTGATATTTTAAGCATTTAACAGAATGAAAGAGTGCTTTTTCCATTGTACTAAATAAGTTAGGTACTAAAAACTACAATTTTGATATGTTTTTAGCTACGGTGCGACACCGTCTGGTGGCAGCAAGTGCTTGCTCCCTACGCACCAATCTTCACAGCCCGTGAGAAGGCAGAGGACAAGCAGCTTGAAGAGACCCTCAGGCAACAGCCCCTTCCCAAGACTATAGCTGAGTGAGTCATACCCCACGCTTGTTCCTTGTCTGTTATGTTCACAATACCTGATCTAATAGCAGCTTCCCAAGACTATAGCCGAGTTATTCATCTCCCACGCTTGTTCCTTGTCTGTTGTGTTCACAATACCTGATCTAATAGCAGCTTCCCAAGACTATAGCCGAGTTAGTATTGTTCTAGTTCTGTTTGTGATTAATTTATCTTACTGTATATGACTTCATGTGTGAGCATTAGTTTACTTAATGCGTTTGCGGTATAGCTGTCTGATGGTATATATTGCTATAAATAAGTATGCCGGCGTTTCCTTTTCTAAATATTCTATACTCACTTGCCTCCGATGCAAGCCAAAAGGTTTGATTGGAACTTCAAGTGGAAAGAGAGAGAACAGCTTGGAAGCACGTTACTAATATGTTACTACATATTTGAAAGGAAATACGTGATCGCGCTTGCTTATTCCCGAGTTGAATGGAAATACCTCAACCTGCAGTAAAACATTTTATGCTTTTACACGTTCCGTAATTCTCTCCAATTTCCAATTATTTGCGCCCTTCCTATATTTCGACAGTTGCTTTTAAATTCACATGTTCGATTTCGTTTTTTTTTCTGCGTGATTTTTAGTGCTCTAAAAGATTGAGTAGAATAGAATAGAAGTGTCGGCGCTGAAAAAATAGACCCATGGCCTGTTGCCGATTCTTGAATTTTTCGTGACTTGATTCACAAGGGACCCGGCCTTTGGAACCCGAACTTTCCCTAACTGACGATTGACTGAGATAGCTGCTGGACTTATTGCCTGGTCCGTAATTTGCTAGGCATTTTAAGACTGAACATATGCTCCTGCATAGCTTCGTCTGGACTTATTGCCTGGTCCATAATTTGCTAGGCATTTTAAGACTGAACATATGCTCCTGCATAGCTTCGTCAAGTCTGTTTTTGAAGGCGTTCATACTCGGAGCGTCAACGATGCTATCAGGGAGGCTGTTCCACGTGTCGGTGACTTGAAGCGAGAAGAAATGTTGTCCCATGGATGTGTTCCAACGCTGTTTTTTTTTAGTTTATAGCCGTGGCAGCAGCTTGTAGTTCTTTCTAGAGTCCTATTATTCATTTTAGCTTGACAAGTCTTTTATTTCCACTCGCAGGTACAAGAACCATCCAATGTTTGCCCTCCAGCGACACCTGCTGAAGTTTGAAGCATTCTATCCCCCGAACCCCGACCCCGTGGGCTACGTTAGAGGCGAGGCTGTGTACCCGCGCAATCGTGTTTACACGCTCCACACTCGCAACACGTGGAAGAAGGCGGGCAAGACGGTTAAAGTTGACGAAGAGCCTTACAAAATCGTCAAGACGCTCAAGTTTGACCGAGTAAGTTCTTACTGAAGTAATTAAATCGCATACCCGCTATTGCCATTCACATTTCGGTGAAAGTTAGACGAGTGTTAATTTGGCTACCCTGATTCTTGTCGTTTCTTTTTCAGAGTTCGACAATAGATTGTTTAACGTCAAAAATTGAATTTGGAAAACTTTAAATACAGCTACTCACTGTTAATTTGCTCAATTCAAGAATAACGTGTCGGTTCACTTTGACATGAGTTTGATAGCAATTAGCCCGCTGCAAGTGCAATTGTTGACGAATCTAATTATTTCATAGTTAATGTTTTTTTCTGCGATTGCTCTTGCTTTTAGAAAGTGTGTTTTTTCTCCTTGTTAATTATTTGTGACTGTTTTGTAAGGCTCTCTGGCAAATGATCAAAGACTTGCCTCTGGAGATATTTGGCCTATGGCAAGTGGAGGACTACCAGCCACCCGTGGCCAAGGATGGGCGGGTGCCGCGCAACGAATACGGCAACGTTGAGCTCTTCAAGGAGACGATGTTGCCTGTTGGCACCGTGCATCTCGACGCTCGCTGTGCGCTATTGACTGTTAACAATGGATTCTTATCTAAATATTTAGTTAAAGAATCAGTCACTTAATTACTCTTTGCAGTTAACCAGGCTCCAAAACGACGTTTTTACGATTTTGTGTCCTCCTGCTAGAAATTCTAATAGCTGTATTGAAGTTTCTTTTGTCATGGGTTTTACCTTCCCAACTGATTTGATGAGATCAAGTCATGCCTTGATGCTATTGAATGAAATGTTATTTTTTTCGTTAAAACTTACCTTATGTGCGTATTTTAATAAATTTATTATACATGTGCCATAGACGAAGACCTGAACCGTGTTGCGCGTAAGCTAAAAATTGACTGCGCGCCAGCAATGGTTGGCTTCGAAAACCACAGAGGAGGAAGCCACCCTCTCTTCGATGGTTACGTCGTGTGCGAAGAGTTCAAAGACCTACTTCTGGATACCTGGAGAGAGGTAATTTGTTGATCTTTACAGCCCATTGATGCCTGAGCTGCCCTGATAGTGATAATCTTTAGCTGTTCTTTCATTATCTGTTGTTGTTACTCAATCTACAATAGTCAACCATTTAGTTTACCTTTCTCCTGTACCAAGTTCATTGTCGAAACTGAAGCAGGCTTTGTAATATATCTAAAAAATTAGATCAGTACTCACTGCAGTGAGTGACAGAGAGCGCATTTTCTCATCCACCCGTCCATGCGTCATGGGCAGACAGACGGATAGACGGACGAGCACAATAGTGCCTTTCTTCCATAAATGAGCAATGCGCTAAAAAGATACAATAATGATGGACATTTTAATGAATTTGAGCTCTTTTCAGGAGATGGAACTAAAGGAGAAACGTGAGGAAATAAAGCGTCTACGCCGCATATACGACAACTGGAAGCGTCTCATTCAAGGTATGCTCATAAGGAACCACGTGTGGGAGAAGTATGGCCAGGTTTCAGATGAAGATGGACCATCTTCAAGCAAAAAGTTGAAACCAAAATCACGTGAAAAGACTCTGAAAATTCAGAAGATAAAAAAGAATAACATTGAGACGAAGCAGCCAAAAGCTGAACAGAAAGTGCATCTTGGAATCGACATGAATAGCGACACCGTCGTCATGGCCAAGCTGAGTTTCAAAGCCTCGCTCAGCAGTCGAGGGATGGTTCGAACGACCAAGACTGCCGAGGACGAAACACTGGCTGCTATTGAACCCAAAAAAGAAGACCTTCTTATCGACAGTGACGAAGAGGCCAAAGAGACTGAGGAAGACAAGAAGGCAAAACTACGCAAGATTTTAGCATGGAATTCCTCCTAAATTAGGAACAATGGCCAACCTCAGCGATGATTCGGATTCAGATGAGAATGTGGTCAGTGAGCTTGACCAGGAAGTTGATCAAAGATTATCTCGGCCCAAGTCAATGAAGGGGAAGGGAGTTTCATCCCGTATGGTTCTAACTTCCATCTCAGGCGATGAAAGCAACCATCGCGCCATGAAGGAAATGCCCCTCTCCGTAAAAAGTGGAAAAATAAAGAAGCGTAATTGTAAATCGCTTTCATCATCTGTCAGAAATTTATCCAAGACCAGAGGACTGTCGACCAAAAGAAACGAGAAAGTGGCTGCTTGTGGTGAAAGTGAAGGTGGAATGGCGTTGGTTTCTGTTACGCATGTACGTCGATCGAGTCGCCTAAGTATCAATCACAAAAATATATTTTACGAAGAGAGCAAAGAAAACGATTTATCTCTAGGGGAGAGTGATTGTGAGGATAAAACTTACAAGTCCAAGTCGTTACCCAAACGACAGCGAGCAGCCGGAGCGCTCATGCTTAGTGAGGAGAGTGACTGACAAAATTACGCGTTTATTATTATTATGATGATGTGTTAGAAATTTCCACATTCCTTAGGATATAAATTTGTTCTTGTTCTTCATACCTTTTGTTGGGTGTGAATTTGTAAATAGTAAGAGTTGGCTGTAAGACTTCGTGGTGTAAACATCACATTAATGTTGCTCCGTTAGGAGTGTATAAAGCCATTCCTTCTTAAATGCTAATTATTATTTTGAGTGATCACTCTTTGTTTTTTCGTTTTATTTATTTACGTTACTAATGCATGTTCGCGCTTTCTTTGGTTAGGAAAGGGCAGACTCCAGTGCTAAATTTGGGCTTGGCCTTTTCTTGTGGCTCGACCACCTTTAACTTTGAGCTTCGGCTTTTACTCTAAAAAATTTAATACTTATTCCTAACCTATTGGGAAAGCTTGATGCTTTCTTAACTTAACTTACTTGTTAATTTTGGAGTCTGCCCTCTCGTTCTTCTACTTTCATTATTTCCCTTAACTTGGCCTCTTAAAATTACAGCTAGATCCGCTTGCTGGCAAAACATAATTATGGCTCCCCGGCGGGGAATCGAACCCCGGTCTCCCGCGTGACAGGCGGGGATACTCACCACTATACTAGTCCGAAGGTCTAGTTCGGCCTCTATACGAGGCCGAAGGTCTAGTTCAGCTACTGTGGCTAAAGGAATCCCCACGCAAAGTGCAGCTACAAATCTTACTTTTTACATATTGGTAAGTAGCAGTAGTTTTAGAACCGGGTTTTGTTATTGAGATAGTTTTCTTCATCAAATTGAGAATAATTTCTTTGTAAGTTGTTATGAAGTCAGCTGTCAGTGATCTTCCATCAAGATAGTATTACGTGTTTCTAAAGCCTTGCGCGGCTTAAACGTGTGCTGTATTTTATTTTTGTTTAGTTTCTGAGAGGTATATCATTCATTCTATATGGAATCAACTGCACCGCTGTTCTGATAGAGAAAACGTTAATTACAATGTCAATTTTAGCAACGTGATGCTCTCTGAGTTTGGCGTTTGTCATGTAATAAGAAAAAATAAATTTAATGTAGAGGAGGTTTTACGAGACTCGTGCAGAAATATAAAAAGATTTAATAAACTACAAACTTTTACACCATCCTACACTCATCAATATATATTGAATAATTAAGTCATGTAACCACCTGGGTCATAAAGGTAAATGCCAACCTATCCTAATAACTCGTACGTTGATACACATCCCTATCAGTAAACTAAACTATTGTTATTTCAGGCATTTAAAAAAAATACATAACAAACCGCGAATACATAAGTATTATTACCTTCTGGAATTTTGGGCAAACTACCAAGGAACAAATTACAAGCAACCTTATACTCGACAGTAAAATGTTTATAAATCGGTAACGCTGCGTAGAAAACGAGTCTTTACTAAAGTGAATACGCTGCATGTGTACAGCCTCACATGCTTTTAACATAACAGTTCACGTAAGTGTAAGCTAAAACGCATAGACAACAGGAAGACTATCTTATAAAATAAGCTCAATGTTTGCAAATATAATTGATGTTAACAGGTACATGTAAAACTTTGAACAAATTAGACACTCTTAATAAACATACAATTTTTTCACTTTTATTCGTGGTTTCGTACATTAAAGCCGTAGAGAGAGAGAGTTGACAGAAAAATATGATATTCATAAGATTTTATAGTATTGAAACTTGGAAAAAACTATGAAATAGTATAAAAAGATACGGCTGACGAAATTTAACATTAATAGGAACGCAACCAAGGAATGTTTCGGTTTTCTTGAGGGAATAATTTGGAATAATTTCCTCCATACGAGGATTATTGAGAAATGAAATAAATAACCCACTCCGAATATGAGCGGAAAATTCAACGCAGTTTAAAAGCATGGAACAAAATCAAATGGTGCAAGTGATCATGTTTGACGGGCTCGTTGACTTGGAATGATATAAAGAATTAGGAGCAGCAAAGCATTCCTTACCGGTCCGACACTTCAGCGAACTCGCGTGCGAACTCGCCTGCGAGCTCGAATGGAAAACCTAACTTAATTTTCAACTCTGGCACGCATAACTCCGTCAATAATGGACGGATTTTCTTCAAATTTGAAATATAAGTAGATAATATCAGTACGCTGCGGAGGGTTTATTCAGATTACGATGCCCAGCAGATTGCTAAATTTGAATCTTCAATTGAAAATCGCAATGGCGAATATTTCGTAGATTTGCCCTGGATTGAAGACAAGGTTAGTGCAGTTAGGTCGAACTTTAGTTTAGCGAAGGCTGTTTTAGATAGAGTACTCAAGAAGTTGCATTCTTCAGGTATGTTCCAGGCATATAATGAAGTTTTCCTCCAGCAGCTGCAGGAGGGTATTCTTGAGGAGATTGACCTTGATGCTGTTGATCCTTCACAGCATGTGTGGATCCCTCATAGAGCGGTCATTCGTACCGGGGAGCAGGTGACTACAAAAGTAAGGCCAGTTCTCAATTGCAGTCTGAAAGTTGACTCGACTCCTTCTCTCAACGAGTCTGCTTATCCAGGAGTGAATCTCCTTACAAAACTTGCCGATCTTTTGTTGAAGGTTCGGTTGGATGATTATCTCGTTATGAGTGACATCCGTAAAGCATTCCTGATGATCAAACTTAAACAGGAACTTGATCGAAATCGGTTTTCAATCTTTTGGGTTGACGAATCCGGTAAACTTAAAGCTTACAGATATTCTTCTCTTGTTTTTGGATTCATTTCGTCACCATTCGTTCTTAACTATGTAATAAAGCATCATGTAAAACGGTACCCGCAGGACGAGGTCTCCTCAATTCTTGACTCTAACTTTTATGTCGACAACTTGTTTCTAACCGGCAATGACCTAAGTAAGTTGATTAACCTGTACAAGGAGTCGCTCTCTCGCATGGCTGAGGGTGGTTTCCACTTGAGGTCTTGGGCCTCGAATAACCCTGAGCTTTCTGAGGTATTCCGGCGTGATGGTGTCGGGGCTGACCACCAGGCTACTGCTGAGAAGTTGCTCGGGTACAACTATTTCCCAAAGAGTGACGCTATCGCTGTGGTTGGTGCTGCCTTTAGCGAAAACCCTCAATTCTCAAAGAGAATCATCTTGTCGGAGATATCTAAAATTTTCGATCCCTTGGGCCTATGTTCTCCTGTCACTGTGAGAGGTAAGCTTCTGATGAAGCGCATTTGGGAGAGCAAGGTTGGCTGGGACGAGCCTCTTTCCGAGGAGATAATCTCGGATTGGCTTCAACTAAAGCATGACTTGCAGACTCTTCCTGAGGTGCAATTTGATCGCAAGCTGGCGCGAAAAGGTGAAGAGGTTTCACTGGTGTTGTTCACCGATGCTTCCAAACAATTTTATGGCTTCAATGCCTACGTTGTTTCTGAAAGTGAAACCGAGCCTCGTGCAAAGCTGGCTTTTGCTAAAGTTAAGAATGCACCTTCTAAGAGCAAGTCTTTACCTACACTTGAATTGATGGCCGTGTTACTTTGTCTTAACTGTCTTGATACTTTGCTTACTGCCTTTTCTGATCTCAAAATTAAAAATATCACTATTGGTGTAGACGCACAAATTGTTCTTTCATGGGTCACTTCCGGTAAAGTTAAAACTAAAAATCTGTTCGCTAGAAATAGAGTAAATGACGTGTTGTCTGCACTTCAAAGCTTGAAATCTGAAAGAGGATTTGAGTGTAAATTTAAGTATGTGCCCACTGGCATGAACCCTAGTGATCTCCTCACTGGGGGATTAACTCTGAAGGAATGGACCAGCAACTTGAATTTTTGGAAATTCGGTCCTTCTTTCCTTAACTCGAAACCTTTGCTTTGGCCTGACGCTGAGCTTGGGTGTTTGTCTTCTCAAAGTAAAATTTTGACTAACCTTGGAAAAGCTAATTGTAAAGAACCATTATTTCCTTTGAATCGCTTCTCATCATTCAACAAACTTGTATCAGTAACTGCCCTTGTGCTAACTTTTGTGCGTAAATTACGTAAACTTCCGTGTGATGCTGTTGACGCTCGTATCCAAGCGCGTCAGTACTGGCTCAAAATTTGAACAAGAAAACCATTTCTCTGATGTTTTAACATTTCTGCATTCTCCACAGAAGGAGCCGCCGCTGCTTGTTAAAAATTTAAATCTGTTCATTCACTCTGACAATATTGTTCGATCAAGAGGCAGACTTGATAGATGTATCTCTTTGAGTTACGATGTCAAAAATCCCATTCTTTTGCCACGCGAAAGCTTCCTCACGCTCTTGATAGTAAGAGATTACCACGAAAGAATCAAGCACTTGGGTGTCAGTTCAACTCTTAACGCTATACGTAATGCAGGGTGCTGGATTCCCAAGGGAAGAGCCACTGTCAAGAGCATCATTTCAAAGTGTATCTTATGTAAGAAACTAAACAGTTTGTCATTCAAATATCCGAAAGTAACAGACTTTGTTGCCGATAGAGTAAACTTTGCCAAGCCATTTCAGCATACTGGTGTTGACTACACAGGTCACATTTATGTCAAATATGGCGATACTATTGTCAAAATGTACATTCTTATTTTCACCTGCCTGAAAGTTAGAGCTATCCATTTAGAGCTGCTGCCCAGCATGTCCACTGCTGATTTTCTGATGGCATTTGTTCGCTTCACTAATTTGCACTGTATCCCCAACAATTTGTACTCAGATAACGCAAGCACTTTCTTGCAGGCTGGCGATTTGCTGGGTGGATCATCCATAGATAATGAATTTAACCAATTCCTGTGTAAACATTGTATAAAACACATAAAAATTCCTCTTTATTCAGCTTGGGTTGGTACCGCGTGGGAGCGTCTCATTAGAGTCGTCAAAAGCTGCTTCTACAAGACGGTTGGGAGGCGAAAGCTGGAGTATTTTCAAGTATTGACGCTGTTGAGTGATGTCACCAACTCGGTAAACTCCAGGCCCCTAACCTACGTAGACAGTGAAGACGTTGGGTTCCATGCTCTCACCCCCAATTCATTCCTTAAACTGGAGACCGGACGGAGTCTGGTATTGCCACCTGGAGATGCGTCTCTGGGAAGCGACCGTAGAGTCTTGGTGGCTTCACTCGAAGGCAGAGAAGAGCTGTTCGATGCCTTCAAAGAGCAGTGGTACAGCGAGTACATCCTGTCTCTAAGGGAGGCTGATCGTGACCGCTTCGAAGCCTCGTGGAGCGATACCATCAAAGTTGGAGACGTTGTCTTAATTTCTGCTCCTGGTAAAAGTCGTCCTTTTTGGTCGATGGGACGAGTTGTGGAGCTGTTGACTGGTCGTGATCAGAAGACCCGCTGCGTAAAAGTCATGAAACCTGACCGATCGGTCGACGTCTTTTCCATCAACCTTCTTTATCCGCTGGAACTCTCCGCGGATGTCGTACCTTCGGCGTCTGGGACTGGACCATGTCCAGCTCGCACACCTACCGTCTCTAACGAGCGCCCTAAGAGAGCGGCTGCTGTTGACTGTCGTAGAAAATTAAAGCTGTGCAATTAAAATTGCACTTTCTTGCCGCCCGGAGTGTGTTAGAAATTTCCACATTCCTTAGGATATAAATTTGTTCTTGTTCTTCATACCTTTTGTTGGGTGTGAATTTGTAAATAGTAAGAGTTGGCTGTAAGACTTCGTGGTGTAAACATCACATTAATGTTGCTCCGTTAGGAGTGTATAAAGCCATTCCTTCTTAAATGCTAATTATTATTTTGAGTGATCACTCTTTGTTTTTCGTTTTATTTATTTACGTTACTAATGCATGTTCGCGCTTTCTTTGGTTAGGAAAGGGCAGACTCCAGTGCTAAATTTGGGCTTGGCCTTTTCTTGTGGCTCGACCACCTTTAACTTTGAGCTTCGGCTTTTACTCTAATAAATTTAATACTTGTTCCTAACCTATTGGGAAAGCTTGATGCTTTCTTAACTTAACTTACTTGTTAATTTTGGAGTCTGCCCTCTCTTTCTTCTACTTTCATTATTTCCCTTAACTTGGCCTCTTAAATTGCCTCTTAAAATTACAGCTAGATCCGCTTGCTGGCAAAAGATTTTAAGGTTGGTGCGGGCTGATGCTATTCTGAAATAGTGCGACATACATTTAGGCTAGTACCTGTCTCTTATACACATCTAGATGTGTATAAGAGACAGCTCGAGATTTATCTTTGAATGTGGAGAGTTCTCTCCCATTGGGCTATCGGTAGTAGACNAATTTGAATAAAATCCGTTCATAATTGAAGGAGTTATGCGTGCCAGAGTTGAAAATTAAGTTAGGTTTTCCGTATTAAAAAAAATTATCGATGAAAAAATTTGAAAAAAAATACTCTCCGCAGCGTACTGATATTATCTACTTATATTTCAAATTTGAATAAAATACGTTCATAATTGAAGGAGTTATGAGTGCCAGAGTTGAAAATGAAGTTCGAGCTCGCACGCGAGTTCGCTGAAGTGTCGAATCGGTGCATTCCTTCGACATTAGTTCTGAACTCCCCGATTTATTACCCGACACACACAGGAATAAAAACATTTGGATCAATTGGTCTTCAGTGCAGTCGCAGTTCAAGCCCCTTAATCAGATAAAGTCAAGAAAAATGCATCAACCGAACTTACGCGCGACGTCTCAATTCGAAGAAAGAGAAGCATATACTACTCAAGATCTAATCCACCATGTGGCCGCAATGAGAGGAAGTTTCATCGCGACAAAAGAAATGAGCCTCAGTATAGGAACATTTCCTTCCGTTTTGCGCAAATAAAGAAAAAATATAACTCAGTACTCACTGCAGTGAGTGACAGAGAGCGCATTTTCTCGTCGACGAAAACTTGAGGTCACGGACGGACAGACAGACGGACATGGCGAGCACAATAGTGCATTTTTTCCATAAATGAGAGAATGCGCTAAAAAATGCAAGCGCTAAATTTCATCTCCAAAAACAAATCTTGAAATTCTTAAAAAGAGGCAGGAAATGTCAGGGAATAAAATCATATCTACAATTAGTATCACCAGCAGTACGAAAAACTACGTACATAAGGCTACTTATCACGGTTGTTATCACCTCGTTAAGACATGCCAAATTTGAGCAGCTCACTCGCACGTCAATAATGTTCTAATATTCTAGCCAGACTTCTAACTAACAGCTGATGCAACTAAATTAACTCGCCCACTTATGTTCAACCCAGTACAGTAAGGACTACAAAATTACTGGAAATATGTCACAGCTCATTTAAGATCACCTTACTTGCTCGACGATACATAAAAAGACATTAATAGACATGTCACCCTTGCAGGTGAGACTCAAGGTTAAGTAGTTGGGACAAGTGTCTTCGGTCTCCTCGGTCCTTTTCATGGCAATCAAGGTTTGTAACCTAAACTCCATAATTATTCTCATTGTGCTGAAAATAATTATAAACTGGCATGCCCCAGGCAGACCTTAAGAACGTCGGACAACCACAAACATGAGAGTCGTCACTAAAAGTAGGTAGTTGGACGAGCGTTGATTTACTGACATAGCATTTCCAATTGCGATTTTACTGCTGCCAAATTTTTACTGCTGATTAATATACAAAAGAACATCGTATAAACGGATAGAGGATTATGGGGATAAAAGGGATGAGATTAGGAGATGACAAGGGACGTGGAAAAATCATGTGGCACGTGGAGAGATGGCGCCACACGCGAATTAACGACGCGCCGCGTGAAGGGACGGCGCACGAAATACTGACGATGCATAGACGCACATGGGCTCAGGTCCACGTCTCGTTGGGCAGGAGGGCCTCTTTGGTGCCCAGGCCAGGCTTCAGCGCCTCGGCCTCCAGGAAGCGAAGAGGGAACTCGACCAGGTGACCCTAGCGTAACATGAGCGTCAGCAACGCAAAGGTGATAATAAAAATATAACTCAGTACTCACTGCGGTGAGTGACAGGGAGCGCATTTTCTCAAAATCAACGAAAACCTGAAGTCACAGACAGACGGACGGGCGGACATGACGAGCACAATAGCGCCTTTTTTTCCATAAATGAGAAAATGCGCTAATTAATATCTCATTATCTCCACATAATTAATTAGATTCTCATTTTTGAGTACAACGGGAATGATTGCGACGTGGTCACGTGATCTGCTATCCATTAATCCACCGTGTGAAATCTTTAAAAATTAAATTTCAAATCAACTGCAAACATCGAATAACACAGAATAATTTCATAGGAAAGAAAAAAAACATTTCCCATACTTGCAGTGGAAACGTTTCGTATATCAGCAACGCCTTCGGTTCAAAATCCTTGGCAGCTCCAGAATTTAGCACACAAAATCGATGCAACTAAAACGGACAACTCAGTCGGTTTCTTCTCAATTTCAGAAATCACGTAATCTACATACTGAAAAAAATTATTTTCAACCCTTAATCTGCATGATACACAAATATGCCCGCGTGATACGAACCTGTAGCGCAGCGAGAGCTGCCGTGGCCGCGGCTTGGTTGGTGGCCGCCAGAGGCACCGCCGCCCGGAGACGCTCGACGTCCTGGAAACTGCGGGCGCCGTCGCACGGGTAGCAGGAGAACACCTGCAGCGGGACACCATTGAGTTGTGGGTGAAGGAGGGGACAGAGATAACACGTAGTACGTCACTTTGAGTACGTGTTGCTAGGTGCACCTCGCGAATAGGACACGTGTTGCTAGGTGTACCTCACGACTAGGACACGTGTTGCTAGGTGTACCTCACGACTAGGACACGTGTTGCTAGGTGCACCTCACGACTAGGACACGTGTTGCTAGGTGTGCCTCACGACTAGGACACGTGTTGCTACGTCTGTTACTGTGCTTATATCAGGCAATTTTAGTTCTTGTAACGATTATCTTCAGTGAGAAATAAAATTATCACAATTTATAAATAAATTATCTAAAATAGCACCAGAAAATGTTTAAATGGGCATGAAAAACACACCTTGTCGTAGACGGCCGTGTTTTTTCGGGCTGTCGCTTGCCAGACGCCCGAGAAGAATTTCTCAATGACAGGATCTTCGATGTCATCAACCGATAGTTCTTTATTTCTTTCATCTGGAGACGGGCAACGATCGACGTTGTTGCAGCCACCACCATTGCTGTTGTGATGGTTGTTGCTTGATTCAAAAGCCCGGTGCTTCTTGGACGAACTCTCCTTATCCTCGGAATGGTGAAGAGTGTCAGAGAAGAATGACGTTGTTGAGGTGGTATTGTTGTTCAGGAGGCCCAAGTGTTCACTGAAGAGATAGCGGCGCAGGCCCCCGGCGAACTTGCCACGCTGGTAACACGCGCCGTTCATGCGACCCTCGTCAAATTCTTCGTCCTGCCAACAAGAAAAACTGTGAGTCAAATGACACTAAGGCAACTGTTAAGCTACTGGTAGCAATAGAATTTTATTCACCTGGCAACAAACGAACTTTTAGTCACCTGGCAACACTGTATGTCTGGCAACAAGAGAACTGATAGTCACCTGGCAACAAAAGAGCTGTTAGTCGCCTGGCAACACTGAACGTATATCTGGCAACAAGGGAGCTGTTAGTCTCCCGGCAACACACCATATACCGAGGGCGACGACTGACCCACCTCGATGACGAGGGCGCCGATTGACCCACCTCGATGACGAGGGCGACGACTGACCCACCTCGATGACGAGGGCGCCGACTGACCCACCTCGATGACCAGGGCGACGACTGACCCACCTCGATGACGAGAACGACGACTGACCCACCTCTATGACGAGGACGACGACTGACCCACCTCGATGACGAGGGCGACGACTGACCCACCTCGATGACGAGGGCGACGACTGACCCACCTCCATGACGAGGGCGCCGACTGACCCACCTCGATGACGAGGGCGACCTCTGAGTCGCGGTCGCCCAGGAAGCTGCGGTCGTTGATGTTGGCAGAGCCGGCGACCACGAGGCGGTCGTCGACGATGAGAAGCTTCGAGTGGATGTAGATGAGCTCGGACACGAGGCGTCCGTCGAGGACGTCGTGCGTGCGCAGCGAACAGAAGCTCAGGTAGTGACGCCAGTCCTTGATGCCGCGCCGCTCCAGCTGCCCCACGAGACTCTGGTCTCCTCTACCGACCACAACAAAGTTAGTAGTTGTCTTGGGTAATAGAACGGGATACTACACGCGTCTTTGACCATAGTAATGAACAATTTCTTTTACATAAGATTATATTATTTCTATTTCTAACAGCAAACAATCACGAGCAATTGAATCGTGGCAGGATATGCGCAGATGGATAAGAAGGTAGCACACTACCTGCAGATGGAGGAGTATGTGTAGTGGAGGATGAACTGCATGGCAGTGCCAGAGGGGGTGCCAATCTGCCCCTCGAAGGCGGGCAGCAGCGGCATGATCACGTAGACTCTGAAGGCGGAGCGACTGCGGTGGGCTCGCTCGATGCGGTTCACGAGAGCCGCCGCTATCTGGTTCTGAACGTCGCCCCTGCCGCCCCCACCACCGCTGTTGCTGATGAAGAACTGGTTCTCGATGTAGATGTAGTGCAGAGACTCTCTGATGGCGTCCATGTAGGCGTTGTAGATGCTGCGTTCCGTCTCGTGTTGCCCTCCGCTCCACTCGCCAACGCTTCTCACCACCTGACACCGCACGCGTTGCTTGTTCAGCGATAGAGTTTGGCGGAAAGAAGTGGCATCGTAAGTCCGAGGCAGCAGGTATGGATATTTTGGATTGTTCTTGACTTTTTCAGTTTTAACAGCGTTCCAGCGTTGCACAAAATGCCGGGCTACGTCCCGGGCTGCGGGACCTTCCACGTAAAGACCGATGTCGTGCCACGGCATCCGAGGGGTCTTGTGCCGCTCCACACTGTCCGTAAAAGGCTCGTCCGGGTTATTCAGGTCCTTTGTGATCCAGTTAACGTAGTCTTTGCCTACCCAAAGATGTATGGAAGGCGAGTCGTAAAGTGTGGGCGCATGATCAATGTGTGTTGGAGTAAGGGCAGGGCCGGTCTCCGAATCCGACACCTTGTTACGTCCAGCTCGGGCCGCCTTCACTCTAGCACGCCACCGGCCGGCCGTCTTGCGCGTCGCTATTTCGTCTAGCTCGAGGTCAGCTTCAGAGTTGATGCTGTCAGCTCGGTGTAGTCGCACGTTACGACGTGTCCAGTTTTTCATCTCAGTGCCTCTGTACTTCATCTCCCCCACCAGCTCACGTCCTCTGGTGCGCACGGCTTGCATCCGGCTTGAGCTGCCTTCTGGTTTGGAACGGTCTTCTTCGTGATGTCGATCTTGGTCGTTCGAGCGGCCTTCATCATCCGCAGCCGATAGGTCATCACCATCGCTTTTGACGCCGCTCTTCCTCTTTGCATTGCCGCGTCGTCCTTCGCCGTCCAAAGACTCCAAACTTTTCTGGCGCCTGAAGGAGATGTCTTTCTTTCTGTGCTCGCTGTGGGCTATTCTATAAAGGAGACTTCGGTGTTTCTTCACAGGGTCAGACACAGCGCGAGGCTTGCCGTGTAATGGTTTAGTTTTCTTTTCTGTGGCGTCGCTGTACGAGGTTTGACGACTTCCACCTTCGTCAAGTTCGTCTTCTGAGGTTGCTTCTCCACAAGAAGATCCGCGCGATGATGTATCATCGTTATGGCTTCGCATTCCGAAATCTTTGCTGGCGTGAAGACGTTTCTTCATCACTTCTCGTACGACTTCATGGATCTGAGGGCGCTTAGTTGACTTTACGCTGCTCTTAACTCGTGAGACTTTATTGTCGTGGTCGGCTTCAAGGTCTTCACCTCCGGAGCGTCGGGAACCAAATTGCCTGTCGTGCTCTTCACGACGTACACTATTTGTTGTACACGAAGAAGTATTCATTGGGCCTCCTCGAGACGAGTCAGAGGTCCTTGACAAGCTACGACCTGTAGCTCCAGTACCGCTGGCTGCGTTACTGACATCGTCTTTTAGCGCGTCGGTGTTGGGGCTCTTGTCACTTGGTAATTTGTCTGAGTTAGGAGTTGACGAGTCGACACTATTGACGGTATTGACCATGACTTGCGTGCCCATGACGAGGCACGCTATGCTGGAATGGCTGCTGCGGTGGTCTTGTGGCTCAGGACTCAAGCTCGTCTCATGCTTCTGCATGCCGGCGTGACCCAAGTCCACCTGCGCACGTCAAACTTAATCACAGTCAGGGTTAAATGTTTGTTCGTCAATACAGTTTGCTTTAAAAATGTGTTCAATGCAATAAATTGAATAAATTTCCAGTTTAACTCAAATTTCTGAGCTACGGTCTCGAGGTTGAGCGCATCAAAATCAGATATGATTCAGGCCACAACTTAAGGGCAAAAACGATTATTCCAAACGTTACACGGCAGTACCAGTACCCCCTACCATGAACCAATACCACTCCCCATGTACCAGCACCACCCACCACGTACAGGTACCACCCACCAAGTACCAGGTACCAGTACCAGGTACCACGTACCAGACGGTGCCGGTAGTCGTCCCAGCGGCCGTAGCACAGGTCAATGTACCAGTACCATGTACCACGTACCAGACGGTGCCGGTAGTCGTCCCAGCGGCCGTAGCACAGGTCGATGTACCAGCTACCATGTACCACGTACCAGACGGTGTCGGTAGTCGTCCCAGCGGCCGTAGCACAGGTCGATGTACCAGTACCAGGTACCACGTACCATGTACCACGTACCAGACGGTGTCGGTAGTCGTCCCAGCGGCCGTAGCAAAGGTCGATGTACCAGCTACCATGTACCACGTACCAGACGGTGTCGGTAGTCGTCCCAGCGGCCGTAGCACAGGTCGATGTACCAGTACCAGGTACCACGTACCATGTACCACGTACCAGACGGTGTCGGTAGTCGTCCCAGCGGCCGTAGCAAAGGTCGATGTACCAGCTACCATGTACCACGTACCAGACGGTGTCGGTAGTCGTCCCAGCGGCCGTAGCACAGGTCGATGTACCAGTACCAGGTACCACGTACCATGTACCACGTACCAGACGGTGTCGGTAGTCGTCCCAGCGGCCGTAGCAAAGGTCGATGTACCAGCTACCATGTACCACGTACCAGACGGTGTCGGTAGTCGTCCCAGCGGCCGTAGCNCTGCGCACCAACGCACCAGTCACGTTATGGTGGTGACTACAACCTGAACTGTCATGTGATATGGCCGGCACTGCGCACCAACGCACCAGTCACGTTATGGTGGTGACTACAACCTGAACTGTCATGTGATATGACCAGCCCCTGCGCACTAACAGCGCTTAACTTTCAGTACAACTGCATCCATGTTAATTCAATCACCAAATAAAAACAAAATTTTTAATTTATTTTAACAAAATTTTTAATTCATTCTGCATCGTAATATGATGCGAGAGAATGCATCGTAATATGATGCGAATGGTTAAATGCTGAGAAATCTATAATGTAGTGATACAAAACCATGCATTTACTTGATGCAATGAACCAAACCAATACACCAAATAATGAATCGTCAAAGTCTTAAGAATTAGCAATTGAAATGTGTAACATGTAAAGAGCAAGTGCTGAAAACGCGTTGATGTTAAACATCAAGCAGCAATTGAACGCAACTTGATGTTAGGATGCACATCAAATCAAGCACAAGACTACACACCTTGATGTTGGGATGCATCTTGTCAACACTACACACCTTGATGTTGGGATGCATCTTGTCAAGGTGGGATGCATCTTGTCAACACTACACACCTTGATGTTGGGATGCATCTTGTCAAGGTGGGATGCATCTTGTCAACACTACACACCTTGATGTTGGGATGCATCTTGTCAAGGTAGGATGCATCTTGTCAACACTACAC